TGAGTCGTGACTTTTCATTACACACAACACAGGAAGCTGGTGCACAATTATTAGCAGTTACTTCATTAACTCACACTCTAAACAGCAAATCATGACTTTACAAAAATTGCTTTCCCAGAAAAATCAGTGTATTTTATATAGTTCAATATATTTGCACCAATATCCATGTTCATTTAAATCTGGACGTGGACAAGATAGAAAAGCGCAGCCTGTCACAAAGGTGTCATTCTATGACCGTCTCAGTGAGCCTGTTAGGAAAAGAGAGGAACAGTGACGTCTTTGTGTGAGCTGGACAAAGCTAGACCTGTGTGAAAGCAGGTTAATGTTCCTCTACAGGTTTGGAAGCCAAGGACATCTGAAGGACCCTCACACACACTCATCCAAACCCACCTTTGGATTCTGCTCTGGATCTCTAACACCTCCAGTGAGTGACACAATGCAAACACGCAACACAACCGTAAACAAAGCAAGCAAAAAACTCCGACATGCAGTATTTGAACAAAAAGATCCAATTCACAAGAAAATATCTCAGTATTACAGAGGTGTGTGCTGTATAACAGCCCTACTGTGAGTTCGAGTGGGGTGTGGAGAGCTATAAATAACACACTTACAGTGCACACAATTGTGCAGACAATTTTCAACTTCTCAGAATTGCTAAAGAACTGTTGACGCATGGTGAAGTGTGTGTGTGGGTGGGTGGCAGAAAGCATAATGACAGTAAAACAGGACGCCATACACAGTCCCAGAGGATTCCAGGTGTTTGTCCAGTGTGTTGTCTTATATCAGCAGGTGAATTAGTCCGAAAAGGTGCAGAACTTTGTTTATAAAGATAAAAAAACAGACATGTGCAGATTGTACACAAGCTGAGCTGAACTAGTTCCACGTTTACTTTCTTTTTTCATGATTTCATTGAATACTACTTGGATAACTCAGCATATGGTGCCGTTTGTGATCTTATATTGCGTACTTATGTATTGTGAATGCCTGTATGACATTCACTTAGATTTATTTGTCAGATTCTAACTCCTGTTACTGTAGTGTATACCCAAAATATAATTTCTTAAAAACGTTTATGCATACACATGTATACTGTATATACTGTTATGTACTGTATATACTGCATATATTGTGAAAGAATATATGATTAGTCTTTCTGACTGCATAAAAAAGTAACATAAAAATGGTTTGGACACACGCATGCATAAAATTGTAAAAAATCTACGCAAAATGTTAGATTCAAAATGTCAATACAATATTACCGTAGAAATGTGGCAAATTGCTGCCTTATTCAGTTTTGCATTATGTTATTGTTTTGAATTGACCTTTAACAGTTTTGAAAACAGTATGTAAGCATGTGCAAATTGGAGGTTGTGTGGAAGTGAGAAAAGACTAAATGTAATTTGAAAGATTATAAGCATTTAATATAATGTTGATAAATGTTGATAAATATGTTGATAAATTATCAACAGTTTAGCCCACACATAGACTTATGTTGTGCTCGCTGTGTGAAAAAGTGACCTAAGCATGTGTCCTAGCGATTGTAAACAAAATAAAAACTGTAATACTTTTGCACAATGAAATACCTGACAATAACGCATCATTTTTGTTCTCATGGCTGTCGGCACAGGCATTTACACAGAGCAGGAAGGCATTACTGAGGGCCAGGAATGTGCAGACCTTGACAGAAAATATGCCAGGGCTTATTGTGCTGCAAAGAGCATTTCTGTCGCTGGGATTAATGTATTTAAAATGTCCCAGTCTGATTCAGGTCGAAATGAAAGAGACGCTTGTGTGACTCTCTGTAAATCTTCTAATGACTTGTTTTCACATTTGTCTGAGTTTGAAACATGTGCAACGTAGCCTATTTGTCCATAGGTAGAATCGACTGTGTGTGTGTGTGTGTGTGTGTGTGTGTGTGTGCACGTCTGGATATGAATGCATACTTATCAAAATATGTGTTTGAAAGCAAGGACCTTTCCTCTTCTCGAACTGAGGACACACTCACGTGCCATGCATAGTTCCTGATTCATCCAGAGGAGCCTTCAGTTCACAAGTGTTCTGTTCAGACAGCAGCACATTGCTTTCAAAATGTTTTACATACTTTATTTCCCCTTACTCGGTGGTATGATATCCATGCCTAAAATGGGCGAGAATAAATGTCACATGCAAATATATTTCTGTTAACAAACAGTTGTGTTCATACATGATGTAGGTCAAACTATTTTGAGCACGTCTTGTGTTGTCATTGCCTCTTCACGATGACTTGATTTAGTCCTCAGATGTAAATCGCTTTGTATAAAAGCATCTGCTAAATGACTAAATGTAAATGTAGGCCTAAAACATGGCAGAAACTTTTGAATTGAATGATTCGGTGATTTTATCATTTATTATGGATATTTTAGCTGCTTTAATGGATATTTACACAAAAATGTTGTGTCTTCATTTACCCTCATTTCGTTCCCTGTATGACATTCGTTCATCTGTGCATTGAACATATATACATATACAGTACAGTGCTGGTCAGAATTAATGGCACCCCTGATAAATATGAACAAAAATGGCAGTAAAAAATAAATCTGCATTGTTTGTCCTTTTGATCTTTCAAAAAAAATGCAAAAATGTAGCCTTTCTAAAGCAAAAGAATTGAAAGTGGGAGTTAATCACATTATGAAATTAATGTTTTTCTCCAAAACACGCTATTGGCTCCCTGTTATTAAATACCTTTTGCATCCTCTTTGTGCCAAGAGAACAGCTCTGAGTCTTCTCCTATAATGCCTGATGAGTTTGGAGAACAACTGACCAGAGATCAGTGATCATTCCACCAGAATCTCTCCAGATCCAGATTCACAAGTTCTTCTCTTCAGTTCAGTCACTCATCTTCTGTAGGGTTCAGTTTAGTGGACTGGGACGGTCATGCCAGAAGCTTCATTTTGTGCTCAGTTACTCATTTTTGTGTTGATTGATGTTTGTTTTGGACCGTACTGGAAGATCCAACCACGACCCATAAGATTTCTAGCAGAAGCGGTCAGGTTTTGATTTTTTGTCTGTTGGTATCTGTTAAAATCCATAAAACCATCTGAACAAGATGTCCAGGACCTCCAGCAAAAAAATAGGCCCACAACTTATAAAATCCAGTAGTGTATTTAACCGTTGGCTTTGGGTACTCTTTTCATCCCTGTTTGTACCAAACACATCTGGGTTTGCTGCCAAAAAGCCCTAATCTCTGCAATTCTCCATCTGTGATCCTTGGAGAGACTTTGGCCACTCAAACTTCCCTTCTTAGCGTGCATTAAGACAATATAAACATATGTCCTCTTCCTTCATTACATTTTTAGTTGATTGGATCTTCTTGTGATTTACTAAATCTTTAGTTGATACAGCCACTTCTTGTGATGCTCAACAATCTTTTGATGCACATCAGAGCTATTCTTTGGTTTTACTCATTGTGATGGATGATTAATGGGATTTGGCCTTCATGTTTCCTCATATTTAAACTCCTGTGAAACAAAAAGTCATAGCTAGACATCATGTCACCCTGGTGTGCTAAAAAAAAGGTAAATATGAATGGAATATACTGTACTTTAGAGATATTTTACTCGTAAATAATTCTAATAATCGTGGCCAAAATCTTAGTAGAAAAACATGTATTTCATAATGTGATGTATCCAAGCAAGTGTCTCAAAATAGCATGTAATTATATAATTCTGTATTATCTGAATGGAATGACTAAGATCTTCCAACATGGACACACCTGTTTATACAATCACTAAAAATATTCAAGCCACGCTAATCTCTGTTCTGATAATGTTGTGTATCAGATTTGTGATTTTTCAGACCCCAGTTTACATACCTGTCTCGTTGCTAACAGTGTCACTGAGGACAGGCGTGTATGAAATAATAGTGTTGCACAATTCTTACAGTTAACTTGTCAGGCCAGTTGCCTTTAATTAATCTTTTTGATATCAGTGTTTTCACACCTAACAAAACATGATTAAACTTGTCTTATGAACAGGGAAATTGCACCATTTTAGGGTAAAATGTTCTAAGCTAATCATTTGAAGGGCATGCCTTGTTTTTTCTGACTTAATCACAGGAAAACCAAGCCTTGTTTTTCTCCAAAGAGGAAAACTGGTTTTGTTCGTGGGAACTTGTAAGTGATTCTGAGTCATCAGTATCGGTTATAAAGATGTAAATACAGTATCAAATTAGAGATAAATATTATGACCTAAAACAGAGGGTGACTTCAGCATATACAATACTGTGTGTTCTGTTTCTATGGATGTGCCTCTAAAATACACTGAATGGGTGGATGATTACATGCATCAATGATATTTTACAACCTGATTGACCATAAAAGGGCCATTCATACTTTAAAGCTACCTTTAACACATTTACTTTAAAGCTATCTCTTGGTCTGACATATAACGGGTACTTTAATGTCTATAATTTAATATTAATGAAAATGTAGGGAAAACTGGCCATCAAAAGTTGACCATCAAAATGAAATTAAGGCAGACTTGAACAAAAAACTGCATGATCGCAATGCTGTTTGTTACTCACAATCACGGCATTAATACAAATACGCCTAACACACAATTAACATCACAAACATTCACTGTTTACATTAAAAAAATTAAATTTATAGAGCATTTCTTTCACTCTAACATGTAAAATGTGCTTAGGCTATGTATTTGTATTATCATCAACTAACACCAATCATCGTTATTATTATTATTATTAGTAGTAGTAGTCATGGTAGTAGAGCATTTCTTGTTTTTTTTAAACTTATCACAACGTCAAGAGTGTGCCACTGCCTTCACCGATATTCCTTGTGTTGGATTATAGTCAATTTCTGCCATCTAGCGGATATACTTGGTAGTGCCGCTTGTTTGCTCTCTGTATAAAACCCGCCTCCGACAATCTTTCTCAACTTCTAATTGGTTGAAAGAATTTTCTCTCTCCTGTCTGATTCGCTACATGGTTTCGACATTGTCGTCACTCACAACAGAGGTCACACATGATTCAAAAATGGACGCGTCCTGTTGAAACGCTACTGCCGTGTGAGTTTAAAATGAATGTTTTATCTTTTCAGTTATTTTGAAGCGAAACCACTGAATCACATGGAAAAAATGGAGCTTGCTGAAGAGACTGTGTGAGCTGTCGTCTACTCCTGCGATGCCTTCACATGCTTGTTTACAAAGGGTGGGTTTAAAATTCTCTGAAAAAACAAAGGCCGATTATTGTGTCCCAATAATGTGATAAAATACTAATCAGATAAAATTGCTAAGAGCAAAATATACCGAGGTCGGAGTCTGTCTTGTTTATTTATTAAATGATTGACATGTTAAAAAGATTCATTCTCAAAATACTGTCCCTTCTCCTTGAATTTTCGTCAAAATTCTTGAGATATAATATTGAATAACCACCATATATACATTTTATTAAATAATATTTTTACCATACACTTGATACTTACAATTTAAAAGTTAAAATATAAATAAAATGAAATTAAAGGTAAAAATATAAATCACATTTTTTTTTATCATACACTTAATCATCTTTTTACAATTTCACAAATCATCTTGTGACACAAAAGACTGGAGTAATGTCTGATTAACATTTAGTTTTGCATCACAGAAATGAATTATATTTAAAGTATATTAAAATAGAAAACCATTATTTTAAATTGTAATGATATTTCACAATATTACTGTTTAGTTTTTTTTTTTACTTAACAGTAGTTCTGTTTCCAAATGTTTGACTAGTACTGTGCATGTGTGTGTGTGTGTGTGTGTGTGTGTGTGTGTGTGTGTGTGTGTATATATATATATATATATATATATATATATATATTTCATACTATTTGTGTTTTCCTTGTGGAAAAACTAGCATTTTAAAAAGTTGAAGTTTAGAGGAAGAAAAGGCTGTTCAACTATAAACATTATCACTGCCCCACTTATATATTCCCACGTAACCTGCATCAATCTATTTGTAACACTTTTCTACAGCTGTGCATCTGCTACATGGCTCTCTTCAAGACCAGACCCAGTCCCTGGACTGTGCCCTCTCAGAACAGAGCTTTGCACTTCACCGCCTGTGAATCGCAGTGTTCAAGCCCAGACTCTTCCTCCTCTATCAGCAGTGTAAAGCAGACACCGACTGCCTCAGAACCTGCGGACGAGGGCCCTCCGTCTCAACCCACCCACTGCTGCATGAGCGGCTGTCATAACTGTGTGTGGATCGAATATGCTGAACAACTGCTGAAGTATTACAGCAATGGTGGAGAGAGAGCTCTGGCGGCCATTGAGGAGAATGTTCTCGATGACAACCTAAAGGCTTATCTTAAAATGGAGATCAAGTTACTGAAGAAGCCTTGATGACAATGGACTTTGGGGGGGATATTTATTCAGAGTTCATAGTGTTTCATAGCAGCAACTATTTGCACATTTTTAATAGGTGAGTTTTGAGTTTTCTGTCAAGAATATATCTGGGTCATAATTCACCTAAAAATCAGTAGAAAAAGATTGGTGTTTATTTCACAAAGACAACAAATCCTAATCTTAGGACCATAAGATTTCATGACAATGAACTCCTGTGAGTTCTTTTTACTCTTTTTACATAGGACTTTTCACAAAATATAGTCCATTTTATTATAATTGAAATATACATGAAAGTGTGTTGTGAAAATTGTGAAGGGCATGTTCAATATTACAGAACTGACAGATGTCAGACTACACCCATGATAATACCTTATCTAAAGAACATTTTTAATGTTCACTTCTGCAGTAAAAAAGATATGAATTGCTAACAATGTTATGTATTTATAGACAGATATGTTTATAATTTCATATTTATATTTAATATAATATTAGGATAAAGTGCACAATTTATTATTTATCATTGTTTTACATATCATTTTGCACAGGTTTAACCATGTTCTTATTCAGAAAACACAAGGACACCCTATAATTACTAAAAATAAGTGTCACACTGAACTGAAATAGGATACACTTATCCATGTGTGAACATTTAGTAGCAAATCTGATGACACCAATCAGAAACTCAGAAGAATAATATAAATAGGGCCACCTGTGATTATGTGCTTTGGAAAATGAATCGTAGTGGTAGGAGGGAAAGAGGGGGGGGGAAATAATAAGGGGGACAGGGTCGAAGGACATTTGTTCCTGATGAAATCCAAAGCATTGTAGTTGACCCATGTTCATGAGGAAAGTTGCTTACAGGCTCATCTTCAGGGTTTTTATACTACTTACACATACAGTATAATATATACATGCATACATATATATATGTATATAATATATATATATATATATATATATATATATGTTGTTTGCAGAACTGGGAGACGATTGCCTATATGGAGGGAGAGAAAGTCTTTTTAGAATACTAAAAAAACAGTTATACTGTAGGATGGAAAATATGGTCACCAATATTGTAATGCAATTTAGCCGAGGATGAACAAAATTTTTAATGTAATTGTATATTGTATTGCATGCCAAGTTCATTTTAACTTTTCTTTTTTTAGTGATTTTAATTACTGCAAGATCTCTTTACAGAAGTGTAATGAAAATAAACTCTTCTTAAAGCTCACTCTTGAATTTTACTCTATCTGCACCCCTCTATTTATGTTGCATACTGCAATAGACATTAAGCTGTAAAATCAGTGTGGCAAATTTGAGGTTAATATCTCAAAAAGTAAGATTTTGTTTGGGCGCAATACCGTTTCCACTGGACAGAATACGTTTCCCTATCTGATCAGCTCTTGTGGCATTAGAGCCCACATTGGCTTGCCTAGCATCTTAGTTTGTTCATGTTATTGGCTGGCACTTGTGCATTCTTTGACGACAGCCACCCAGATCTGAGTACCTGTGAGTCAGCACATGAGGGCTTGATGCCATGTGCCTGAAAGCAGGGCTGTGATCCAGCTGAGGTGGTTAGGTACTAGGCCTATTCTGTGAACAAGATTTACAGACGACAATGTGACACTGGTTCATTGAGGTCATGAATGACCTCCATAGTGAAGTTTGAGATGCCACTCTACAACTGTTGTAATTAATGACAAAATAAATGTTTGGAACTGTAAATTGATATTTCATACTTAAACTTTATAGCAAAATATATAAATAACTGGCTTAAAAATACTAACATGCTGGTGTGTATATATACATACACTAACATAACATACACACTCACATATACAGTATATATAAAAGATAGATTATAGATTTTAAATTCCAGATATTGTATTTTAAAACTAATAATACACTAAGTAACATAAAAATCAAAGGGTCAGTGTTACGATTGGTTAAATGGTTCAGATAACTACCAGGGATTAGAGTTTGGTCACGGGTTTATTGTTTGAACCGGGTCATCACAGTAATCTCACAAGCTAGTTATCAATTGTCAGAGCACGGACGCAGTAACCCACTGGCTTTGTATATAATTGATCGATTCCTCTGTTGTGTCTTCATATCTCATTACACACAGACGGAGAGTGGGGCACGTTTGACCCCATGACCTTGCTCTGAGGTTGTGGGGGCAAATTTTGACACAAAGACAAGAATGAGCAACCAATGACCCATAGATTTAGGCCCATTAAAAAAAGGGTTTGTCTTCTTCAAAAATTTGATTATCCCAATTATCCCAGTCTGTCAATGTAGACATTTTTGTTTTCTGTATTTTGTCATACAAAACTCTAATGATAGTTAAAAAAGGGTATATTATATTATATATTTTATTATTGAAAGAAGACAGAAGACATCTTGAGATATTTTGCAATACGTTATATTCTACAGACAAAAAAATAACTACATTTACCCACCCGTAATAATGTACAACAAAATACTTTGAGTTATAGTTAATCCTAATCACAGATTTCATATTATTTAACTGACAACAGCCTGTCAATAACAAAGACTCTCATTACCAGAGCAATACAGATGGCCAGGTGCTGTAATCCTGACCGCAGATCTAGACCATGTAATCAACTAATTAAACCTCCAACCTTTAATCTAGTGCCTTCAGTAATTATTTTTGTGCTATTAGTCTCAAAATAAAGCATTTGGGTTCATGTCTTGGCTGGAGTCGTTTAATGAAAATGCTAATGAACTCCACTCGACCCCCACAGATGTGAGCCTGTTGCGTAACAATGATAGAAAGATGGAGAACAAACAAACCATAGAAGAGCACTCTCTGTCAAACAGTGGTTATGATCTTTCATTATGATATTATTTGGTGTTATTTGATCAGCAAATCCACTCTCAAGCAGAATTAGCCCATTCTAGAAAGCTTCTGGAAAAGATTCCTGTCTCTCTATATGTGTAATTATTCTCCTTAAACATTTCTCAACTCATTTTTTTAAGTCAGTTTAATGTAATTTAAGTTGAATTGACTCAAACATCCAAGTTGATTGTACTTAAGAATTTAAAAAACTTATAAAAACTGAAAAGCATATGTAAAGCAATATGAAAAGTATGACAATATGAAAAGCATTTGACCATTATTATTGAACAAAACAGTACAAATATATTAATTATTCAAATTTATGTCATGCCTGAATTATTATAATAATTTAATTAATTCATAACATAAATATTAATATATAATATAAATAAGCAAAATAAACCAAAACAAATATTATATTATATTATATTATATTATATTATATTATATTATATTATATTATATTATATTATATTATATTATATTATATTATTATGTATAAGGCGGCAGGTCAGCTTTGTAAAAATTGTTGTTGTTTTTTTACTGTTAAACAAGCAAAACAACTTTCGTAATGCTTTTGGTTAATAGGCCTATATAAAGTGGCCTCATCAAATGTCCTGAAATTGTTTGAGACCATTGTATGCAATTTACTATGGATATATGTTGTTTTATTATGTAAAAAATATATAAACAAGTTGCTAAAAGCAAAGTTGCTATTGTGTTCATCATTGTGTTCTCGAACCTAGGGGATCAGGGGCACGAGGCGTCCCTCTCCTAATCTTCTGAGGGGGCCAGAGAGTATAAAAGGCCTGTAAACCCTGCACCGCTCCCAAGGAAAGCCGAGCGTTGACATCCACTCCTCCTCAGGAGAGAGATACATAAGGGGAACGGTGCTGCAGTTGCACCCAGTCAACAGCCTGTCAATCAACCGGTGAGTAGAACCTTTCAATATTTAATCATCAATAAGGGATGAGTTGTTCTGTAATAATATTCTACAGTAAAGTGTCTATGTGGTTGAAATAAAATAATGTCAAAAATATATTATGGATCTTGAAGGACTTTTTTTTTGTAATAGCTGACCGGATATTATCTTGCTTATCATACAGCTACTTATCGAATACATAATTAAACAGCATGAAATATTGATTTGAGGTTAAATTATTTCATTACGCGAAAAGAGAAATGGACATGAATGGTTGCCTGGAACAAGTAGCCTAATTTATATAAATTAGTAGTTAAATGCTAAATTATTAGATCACAGAATATCACAGTTGACCAAACAGAATAAAATATTCCAAAAAGCTCATCTCTAAAGTGTCAAAACGTATAATGTAACTATTTCAAATAATGACAAATGGTTTATTTTCATTAACATTAGAGTGGAGGTGGCCATATGCATTCAATAATGCATATTATACTATATATATATATATATACATGATTTACAAATTGTAAATATTTAAGTATTCATAAATAAAAAGTATTTATATTTAAGATTTAAAAAATTAGTTTTTTGCAAAATATGTATACAAATCATTGACCTTATTATTATAAATATTATGTGATTATTAATTTTTGTAGAATTCATTAGGCATCATTGCCATTGCAACACTATTGCATCTATTTGCATTAGTCTTATAATATACCTCAAGGTCATATTTTGACACTTATCTTTTCTGTTTGCTCAGCATGTTTGGTGTTATCCCTGCTCTAATAAGATTAACCCATGTGCAGATTGCCACCATTAGGAGAGGGGAACATTTATTAATCCAAGCTCTGGATTACACAATATGGGTCACCCTACCCGTCACTCATTCCCAGAGCTCATTTCAGGGAGCATGACCATGACAGACATTCAAGTAGAGGAGAATATGTATTTGGATTTGCGTATTACTCATCAGTAAGAGGATTGTGGGTACCATATACTGTACCATATGAACCAGTAAACTCTGTTGCAGTAAATTTGGCAAAATCCATGTTTCATAGGGTGTGAACCATAAACTCACTCCAGTTTTTTCTGATATTTTCACATCAGCACTACATCACGGAGAGTGATTACAAAGAGAAGAGACCAACAGTGACCAACAGCCATGAATCTTGAGCTGCCCAAAACAGAGATCAAATCAGCCACCCGTGTCACTGGTGGTCCCGCCACACCACGCAAAGGGCCGCCCAAGTTCAAGCAGAGGCAGACTCGCCAGTTCAAGAGCAAGCCACCAAAGAAGGGGATCCAAGGGTAAGCCACACTGTCAAAATCATAACTTTCATGATAAAGGCTTTGTGTTATTTGACACATCAGTCATATTTTATTGTACTGCAGTAATAATGCAGTATAATAAATTTAAAACACTTTTTAAAAATAATAATATTAAATAATTCTGCAACATGACTATTTCAATTGAATATATCACTTTTTATTTGACAGTTTTGGAGATGACATCCCTGGCATGGAAGGTTTAGGCACAGGTAAGCATAATCTGCTTTACATTTTTCCTCACGTGTTTTACCATCAGGACAGCATCACCTACTGTACCATCTATTCTAAGCCGCCCTTGTCTGACAGGGTTACAGGGTTAGTCTGATCAGACATTATATGTATGTCAGACAATCCTCTCATACTGAGTATCATCAATGACATTATGACATCAGTATGATTAAACAGACCTGAATGCTACCTGGCCTTCAAACTGATTAAGTTAAAGGACAACTCAGGCGCAAAATGAACCTTTGGCCTAATAACACATTGGTACCTAGTCAACCGTTCTCTGAGATTTTGTTTTCATGATAATCGAATGTAAAGAGTTTTATCTCTAAAAACTGTTTAACGTATACAGTAACACTAGTATATAGGGAATAGAGTAATGAAAATTATAAATCGCTAGTTAATACCACTAATACCACAGTCCACTTCATGTATAGACAGGAGCCATCTTTGGAAAACAGTCTCGACCAATCAAACCACAAACGCTGTTCTTACAGTTCAGCTCACTTGATTTGTCGTGACTGTTTTCCAAAGATGGCTCCTGCCTGTATACGCGAAATGGACTGTCTTTATAAAATATATTCTTATTAAACTGTCTGTACACTTACAAAGGTGCTTAATAATTCAGTTTGCATGTAGGGACCTTCATTGTGTCACTGTGTTAGTGTGGGGATATTTTAAGCCTTGTTAGTGGTATTAACTAGCGATTTTATTTTTCATTACTCTGTGCCCTATATACTAGCGTTATACGCTAAACAGTTTTTAGAGATGCGACTCTTTTTGATTATCATGAAAATAAATCTCAGAGAATGGTCGACTAGGTACCAATGGGTTATTAGACCAAAGTTTAATTTTGTCCTTTAAGTCATTCCCTTTGGCTATGATAGATGAACTCATGTTGCTGTGTTTCTACCTATACAGACATCACTGTCATCTGCCCCTGGGAGGCCTTCAACCATCTGGAGCTTCACGAGTTGGCCCAGTATGGTATCATCTGAGCCCCTCACCTTCCCATCATCCTCCCTGCCATGGTCTCCAAACCACCAGTCTCCATCCTGGCCATCAGCTCCAAGGGGATCATTCCATTTTTTATAATAGAATAAAAACACAAAAGAGCAACATTTATAAAAATGGAAAAACTAAGAAAAAATGTCTACCCAAAAAAAAAAAAAATTCTGACTATCCACTGCTCCGGTTTCTCTTTTTTCTTGCAGTCTGAGAACACATTCTGCTCAAATTGTAGAACAGAAAAGTCTATGATCCCGTCAGATTGCGTTCCGTTTGCCTAGAAAAACTGCTGCTCCTTTTCTTTGGTCTTTTCTACTCTCATTCCATTTTCTTCTGGAACACGAAACATACGCAAGCAAGACAGCCTCAGAGTGAGTTAAAAACAAGAGTCGTAACCGTGAAATGCCTGGCTTCTCATTTCACGTGCCTCGTTGCCTCTTCTGTCCACCTTCGCAGAGTTCGTAAGAAAAGATCTAAGTCCTGTAGAGATGACACTTCACCCTGCTGGCCGACACCAAAACTTTATTTCAGCCCACTCTTTCCCCATCAATATGCAGATTTTGAAATGTTTTAACCTTCCCACTATTAACGTCTGTGTATTATGGGTAAGGATAACCTCAGGAACGGTTACTTTCTTTAAATATCATATTGGCTTTGGCAACCCCCTCATTCAACGCATGCATAGCATACGTTAACACATACAGGCACAATTAGATCATTTGAATTCATTTTGGGCTATAATTCTCGGTTTCAGTAAGTAAGGTGACTGTTTGGGAGCAGTGGCTGGCATGTGTCCTTCATCCATGTAGTTGTTTTTCATCAGCATCATTTGTCCTGTTCATCATCACATCCCACTTTATCATTTTGTCCCATTTGTTTTACTAGAAATGAATTCAATATATATTACAATTTATTGCATTGTATATTTTGGTCTACTCATCATATAAGGCTCCATTTAAATGTTCTGTATTTTATAGATTTATGATTTTCTAGCCATCATTCACTTTCACTTTTTTGTCATTGTGTCAAGAATGTTTATTTCCCTATATTTATTTTTGTTGCATGCTCTGTCTTTCACCATTATGTTTTATGTCCATTCATTGATTTGTTTAACTATTAGTTTTGTCATTTTCTATTTCTAATTTAATTTAACGGATTCTAATAGAAAAAGCCAATTTCCCACACAATCAGCTCCTCATTTACCAAAAAATAAATTATATGTCCAAAGTAAATTCTACATTTGTATAAACATGAACATACAGTATGTTAATTTTCACATGGATCCTTGTGTATTAAGATTGTGTCTCCTCCTGAATCCTCAAGTTCTGAGTGAAGCACTCCTGTGTTGTTTTGGCTTGTATTTTGCAGATTTCTAAAGTTTCATAACATCAGTGACTAAAGTGAAGTTTTCTCTCTACAGGATGAGATCAAAATAAAGCTTAAAAAAATTGTAAAAAAAAAAATGATTTGCTTGTTAATTTTTTATGCTCCCGATATCAGTATGATAGTCAGTGAGTTGGGAAAAAATGTCTTTACTAATATAATGAAAAAAGAAAAACATCTTTACTAATATAATGCATTAACTAAAATGTAAAGAATCCACTTCCATATGTTGAATAAAATACAAAAATATAAACTTGTATAATATGGATCTATAGGCTATAGACAAGTACAGACACTACTGGGCAAATATTACTCCGTTACAATTAAAAGTTGTAAAGACCTTTTTTTTATTTAAGTAAAATTACAGAAGTACTCTTTTTTTAAAGTACTTAAGTATCAAAAGTAAAAAGTAAATGTTATGATTGTTGTATGTAATACTTACAGTACCTTATGCCTCTGAATATATGCCTATAGTACCTACCCTATCAATATCAAATTTATTTCTAGAACACAGTTCCAGTTGTGGGATTGAATGTGAGATTAAATAAGTGCACTCAATAAAGTTCACAATGGTTTCTGACACCCAAATGGCTGTTCTGTTAAATAGTGTCCTATTTAAAGTTTTGGCTTTTAGTATGAATATGTTAGCCTTACTGACTGTCATATAAGCTGTGCTCCAAAACAATGACAAAATGTGCATTTAGAAGACCAAACCCAACGTTGAAAATGAATATCAGGAATCAGGTTGATATCAGAATCCAACATCAGATTGATGTTATCTCCAATGTTGTATTGTGGTTGAATAGAAAGACGAGTTGAAGATCTCTGGCAAAAGCTATAAAAAAGTAAAAAAAAAAAAAAAAAAAAAAAAAAATATATATATATAATATATATATATATATATATATATATATATATATATAATTCATTATCTTTTGGAAAAATATATATGCTGCTATATATTGCCAACTTTTTCTTTTTCTCTGAAGATATACAGGAACACAACACATGTCTCCTAGTTTCTATCCGGTGACTTTAAACATGATCCCGTCAAATAGCCCGGACCCAGGCTACTGCTAGCTGCACAGCGAAACAAAACGAGGACACTTAGAGCTGTTGTGCAGTCATGGAGGAAGATTCAGAAGAATCGATAGTGGAGGATAGGGAAGATTTTACGGAGGTTTACTTGGGAAAAAGCCAAAGGAAAAAAAATGCAAAACGTAAAAAATCTAAGGAACAAGAGGATAGCGAAGATATGACGGAACCAATGCAGGACAATACAAAAAAAAAGACAAAAGAAAATCAAGAAATTGTAAGAGAACAAACTGTTCAAAATGTTAAGGAGTCTGGATTCAAAGTTATGTTGACTTTTGAAAAGATTACAGGAACACATTTGCATCCAATAGGACTATCTAAGGCGATCGATAAAATCGTTGGGGCAGTGGTTTTGGCTAAATGTTTGGGACAAGGGAGAGTGTTGGTCATAGTGAAAGATGTTGGGAAAAAAAACAAACTACTTAAGACAAAAGAAATGAATGGAGAAAAGGTCACAACCAAAGAGATTGGAGTAGAAAAGGGGGAAAAGGGGGTGATATATGGGATTCCAACCTATATAACCAATCAAGAAATGCTTGAAAATATAAGAGGAGGTAAGGTTTCTAATGTGAGAAGACTGTATAAGACGATGGAAGGACAACGACAGGAAAGTTTAAGTGTATTGTTGACATTTGAAGGGAAAATGCCTGTAAAGGTACAAATGGGATATATAAGTTATCCAGTAAGAGAGTATGTTCCAATGCCATTGAGATGTTTTAAATGTCAACGAATGGGACATGTGGCGGCAGTGTGTCGGGGGAAGGTAAGATGTGCAAAATGCGGAGGTGAGCATGACTATGATAAATGCACAGAGGTAAATGGATTAAAATGTTGCAATTGTGGAGGTGCTCACAGTGCAGCATATGGAGGATGTGAGGTACAAATTAAAGCAAGAGAAGTACAAAAATACAAGACGGAGCATAAAGTCACATATGCGGAAGCAGTGAAGATCTGCAAAAGTAAGGAGGACAGGAGGGAAGAGAGGAGGGATAATCTCAACCAAGATTCAAGGAACAAAATCGAGAAAACTAAGGAACCAGAGCAACAGTGTGTGATAAAAGAAAATACATTAATAATGACTAAAGAGAACTTTCTAGCCTTTATTGTTAAGGTAATTAATGTCACTGCTATGTTGCCAAGCAGATCGGCAAAGATTAAAACAATTCTAGAAGCTGCTTCAGAATTCCTAGGGATCTCTGGGATCTCAGTAAGTGCAATACATGAAATTCTAACCAGAGCAACATCAGTTGAAGTTGCACAAGTTTCTGAGTAGATAAATGGTGATACATGTAATGCAATGGAACGCAAGGAGCCTTGTAGCAAATGGTCAAGAATTTAAAAAATTTGTATTGGATTTGGATCATAAGCCAAGTATAATTTGTGTGCAAGAGTCTTGGCTCAAGCCAAACCTGCAATTTACATTACCAGGATATAAGTCTATTCGAAAGGATAGAGTTGGGAAACAAGGGGGAGGGGTGGTAACTTTTATAAAAGAAGGAACTGTATATAGGGAATTATGTGAGGTAATAGATATGGAATGTGTTGTGGTTGAAATATATTTTAGAGAAGATTCAATTGTAATATATAATTTTTATAATCCATGTAAGAAGATATCAATAAAATTGTTTGAAAAGATTAAGAAAGAGAAAAAAGAATTATGGTGTGGTGATTTTAATGCTCATAATTGGTTATGGGGGAGTAAAAATACAGATTATAATGGGGAAGTAATAGAACAGCTAATGGACGAAAGATCATTAGTTTGTTTAAACAGAAGGAACTAGGTATAATATAACAGAGAATTCGGTATCAAGTATAGATTTAACATTAATAACAAATAGTATGGCTGAATTATGTGAATGGAAAATTAATGGGGAGAACACGGTTGGAAGTGACCATTTCCCAATTATTTGTAAAATGAATGTAGATAATAATCCAGAATATGTACTACAAAAGAAATGGTTGTATGAGAAGGCAGATTGGAATTCTTTCAGTAAGCATTGTGAAGAAAATAAAGATTTAATGGTAGAAGATTCAGTAGAAACATTTTGCGATTCAATTACAAGTATAATAATGGAAGCTGCAACATTGTATATACCACAAAGAATGGCAGGTCAGAAAAACAAAAATATACCATGGTGGAAGGAAGAGTGCAGTCATGCAATTAAAGAAAGGAATAAGGCATTTAAACAACTCAGGGAAAATATGAGTATGAGCAATCTGGTGGAATATAAGAAAGCAAGAGCTAAAACAAGAAGAATAATTAAGAATGCAAAGAGAAATGGATGGAGAGAATTTTGTTCTACCATAGGAAAAGATACACCTATGGATAAAATATGGAATATGTTAAGGAGTATGAATGGAAAAGGAAAGAAATCAGCTACAATTCCTGTTTTAATTGAAGACGAAAAGACTGCAGTAGTAGATCTAGATAAAGCAAACATGTTAGGTAAGGTTTTAGAAAGAGCACATAGAATAGAATTGGGGGAAGAATATGAGATAAGGAAAAAGGAAATTTTAGATAAAAACCCAGATATTATGAAGAAAAGAATGAGCAATAAGAGCTGTATGGATTTAGAGTTTTCACTTACTGAACTGAAAGTAGCGTTACAAAAATGTGCAAATACCACTCCTGGGATTGATAAAGTAAGTTATACAATGATAAAGCATTTGTCAGATTGTATGTTATTAAAGATACTTGAGTTGTATAACAAAATATGGACGGAAGGAACTATTCCAAAAATATGGAAGAAAGCTGTAGTAATCCCTATTGTTAAGCCAGGAAAAAATTCAACAAACCCAGGAAGTTATCGTCCAATTGCACTGACTTCAAATTTATGTAAATTAATGGAAAAGATTATTGTTCATAGATTAACATATGATCTAGAGAAAAGGGGTACATTTAGTAAGTTCCAATGTGGATTTAGAGGCAAGAGATCAACAATGGATGCATTAATCAAGATCAGTAATGAAGTAGAGAAGACGATAACTATGAAAGAAATTATGGCAGTAGTATATTTTGATATAGAAAAAGCGTATGATACGGTATGGAGAGAAGGGTTGTTAATTAAAGCATCAAGGATAGGAATAGATGGAAATATGTATAATTGGTTATGTCAATTTTTGTATGAAAGAACATTTGTAGTTCAAGTGGGAGCCTGTCAATCATTAAATTATACGGCAGAAAATGGCATTCCTCAAGGGAGTGTTATAAGTCCAATTCTTTTTAACATTATGATTAATGATATTTTTGATAATTTGGGATATGGTGTGGGATGTGCATTGTATGCTGATGATGGGGCTATTTGGAAGAGAGGAAGAAATACAAAACAAGTGATTTCAGGGATTCAAATGGCTATTAAAAAGGTGGAAGATTGGAGTATAGAATGGAGTTTTAAAATGTCTACTAGTAAATCATGTTTCATGATATTTAGCAGGAAAAAAGATTTTAAGGAAATTGAATTAGTTTTATATGGGAAACCTTTAGAACAAGTTAAAACATTTAAATATTTGGGAATGTGGTTAGATGGGAGATATACATGGAAAAAACATATTGAGGAAATTGATAAAAAATGCAGGAGGATCTTAAATGTGATGAGGGCAATAGCTGGGAAAGAATGGGGAGCAGAAAGAGACTCAATGCTAACAATATATCAAGCCTTGATCAGATCAACAATTGATTATGGTAGCATAATTTATGGGTCAGCTTCAGAAACATTATTAAAAAGTATAGATAGAATTCAATATAGAGCTCTTAGAATATGTTTAGGAGCAATTAAAACAACACCGGTTAATGCATTATTAGTAGAAGCGAATGAAATGCCATTGAAATTAAGGAGAGAGAAATTGTCTTTGGTATTTTGGACATCTTTAAAGAGTTACACTGGAGAAAATATAGCTAAAGATATTTTAAATAATTGTTGGGAATACTGTAATACCGAGAGAGGAGGATATGGATGGAAGATAAATAAGTTAACAGAGAAATATAAGATTGCAAATATTGAATGTAGTATGTCTCCTATATGGGGAGAGGTTCCGAAATGGATTATACCGGAGGTTAGAATTGATTTAGGAATATTAGATAAGAAACGGGAATGGGAGGAAATGGGTATGTTGGAATATAAAGTTAAAAAGTACATACAGGAAAGATTCTATGCAAGTATGCACATTTACACTGATGGATCTAAAGATCCAAGAACAGGAATTACGGGAATAGGAGTGTATATTCCAGAGTTTAAAATATCAATATCGAAACGACTAACATCTAAACTGTCAATATATACGGTGGAAATGGTTGCTATTATAATAGGATTAACATGGGTAGAGGAGGTAAGACCAGACAGAATAGTGATATGCTCTGATTCTGCTTCTGTATTAACATCACTAGTTACTCATTGTACGGCCAGAGAAGATTTGATGAGTGAAATATTATCATTATTATGGCGAATACAAAGAAAAGGGGTAGAAATTGGGTTCTGTTGGGTACCAGCGCATGTAGGAGTAGCTGGTAATGAATTTGCTGATGAATTAGCAAAAAATGCTTTAAAAAGGGAAGAAATAGATTTTAATATTCCATTAAGTAAAAGTGAAGTTAAAACTATTATTAAGGAAAATATTATCAAAGAGTGGCAGGAAAACTGGAATACAGATAATAAAGGGCGGTACTTATATAATATTAAAAAAATGGTAGAATCTAAGAAAAGTATAAATGGTAGAAATAGAAAAGAAGAAGTAATATTGACTAGGATGAGACTTGGTCACTCAAGATTGAACGCAACACTATTTATAATTGGAGCTCATGAGACTGGTTTATGTGAGAATTGTGGGGAGAAAGAAACAGTGGAGCATGTGTTATATGATTGTAAAAGGTATGAAGAGGAAAGAAAGGATTTGATAACCTATTTAAATGGAAGAGGGAAAGTTAATAAGGATTTGGCATATTTGTTGGGTTATGAGTTTAATAAAGATAGAGTAGGATATAGAATACTAATAGAATATATATATAGTACTGGATTAAGTGAAAGGATTTAAATATAGGATAAGGATGCTTTGATCTAATCCAGATTTTATAGTCCTGTCTGTAGGAGCTGAACACGCAGCGACAGGTGGGCTATGGGAAATGGAATAAGATGAAGCATCAAATGATTAAATAAGGATGGATATTTGAGGAAGAAGTAAAGAAATAATAAAATAAGGAAAATCTGATCATAAGAAATCGTGACTGCATAACAGCAAAGGTAGGTGGCGATATGCACTAAGATTGCAACGCGCCAAAAAACGAAAGAAGAAGAAGAAGAAGTAGCCCGGACCCATATAGATGTAGCACCGGCTCTGTGAGTTTGGCATCGCTGCATAGACCCGAGCAGATCACATAAACAGCGATATTAAAATAGATCAAGTCTCATTTCTGCGACATCAAGAGGGACAGATCATACCATCATCATGGCAGAAAACATAGTAAGTGTCAGTCTGCGTGTGTATGTTGGCAGTTTAAGTGAAGTCTGTCATCCAGTGATGAGGCAGCAGAATTGTTAGCATGATGCTAATGATCATACTCATCCAGATTCGTTCAGAAACGCGTTAAACAATATTAACAACATTTGTGTTCACCATTCATATGACACGTTAACTTATGATTAACCGCCAGGGCTTGTTATTTCTGCTTAGGTTGACTTTATTTGGCTTGGCACAGGTTAATGAAGACAACGTTAACTTAAATTAATAGTTGAGATATTACACTATGACCTCAGTTAAGTTAGGATTGTTTTGAACTCTTTTGTTTCTGATAGTTTTATATCTGGGAAGTGAATTGACATTGAGTAACTTATTCAGGTGTTTTGAATGACATATTATATTTTGTATAGCTTTTGTATTAAGAGAAAACTGCGAGACCAGGAGTGTAGCTCTGTTATATGATAATATGTAATAATAATAATAATATGTCACTGTTAGACGTTTGGACATGGAGACGTGTGGCATGCGTAGACCTCTGTACCGCTTTGAGTGTCAAATGTCAATGGTTTGCCCTCCAGCCACCTGTTTTCTCTTATTTGTACTACTAGCTTGTTTTGGGCTGATTAACAGTTGTGCTCTCATTCCGTTTAAACCCAAGTGGTGCTCATTGCAGAGCCAAATGACATCCAGCTCCACCTCTCTGGAAGCCATGGCTTGAATTTGACCTAGTCCGGCTCCACCTTTGTGGACCTAATGGGTGGAGGGATAGAGTTATGATGTGGTTGGACCTTCTAGCTCCATCCATTATTACATCCCAAATAACATCCAGACAGGGGGAGCTGAATGTCCAAAACTGGACGTCATGCTCCACCCGTGGCTCTGCAGCGAGCAGCCTCTCTTTTAACTTGTAACTTGTATTATGCCTCTTACAGAGATTGATTGTCTTGAAAGTTTGTATGTTTGCTTGTTTGTATGTCATACCGGTTGCACTAAAAGTTCCCTTCCCTTTTATTGCTCATTGACAGATCATCCGTGTCCAATCTCCAGATGGAATGAAAAAAATCCCCTCAACAAAGCGTGAGACAGCTGCAGCTTTCCTTAAGAAGGTAAAACAGTGTGAGCTATACATTGTAATGTAAGGACATTTAATGTCACAAAATATTTCTATTTCCAATAAATGCTGTTCTTTTGAACTTCCTATTAATCAAAGAATCCAGGAATTTAACCAGCTCATCTGTTTTCAACATTGATGATAATAGGAAATGTTACTTGAGCACCAAATCAGCATATTAGAATGATTTCTGAAGAATCGTGGCTTTGCCAGCACAAGAATAAATCTCATTTTAAATTGATTTTTTTTTAAATTATATTTCACAATATTACTGTTAATGTATCAAATTAATGCAGCCTTGGTGAGCATAAAATACTTTCAAAAGCATTAAAAAATCTCACTGACCCCTCAAATCTCACTGATTATTTGCTCTTAGAAAGGAATGTAACTTATTAAAAAGCCTTTGTAGCCAAGCAGATTAAGTGAAGTGGTAGTTCAAAATCATTGAAATGAATATTGAATATACTCTCAAATTTATTTGCTCACCCTTCCCTATGACAGAATAGGTGTTACTAGTATTCACCACAGATTGTATCCATTGTCATGCCTCTGCACTTATGCAACGGTTACATTCATAGCATGTCAATAAAAAAGCTGAGAATAGCACTACAACAAATGCACAGCATCAGATCCTGAGTCATTAAAAGTGTCAGCACAGACTCCTTCTCCTGCTGAGGGCTGCATGTTGATTTATTAATGAGGCAGCTCTGAAAAAGGAGACCTACTGTATGTCCATATGCTGCAGTCTCACAGATGTGGGCCGCAGTGACACGCATCTCCGCTGTGGTGCAAAGCTTGATGGGTGGTGTGTTTGCTGCAGAGTCAGGATGAATTGGGGTTTGGGGCCAAAATGCCACCGAAAGGCCACAATATAAAATGTAGGGCAGTAAGGGCACCTTCTGGGCACCAAGGACCTATATCAGGGTTTTTATAGTTAGCTGAAACTCAGCCTCAGACGCCGTGCCCACAGACTGGTGTTTGCTAAGCATCTAATGCACACAAAATAGAAAACACTTCATCCGTTTCGAACTCGTCATTGAGTTAAACAGGATTTCCAGAAGACGTGTGTGTGTGTGTCACGTTTTTTAACGGTCTGTCTAAGCGCTTATTAGGATCAACTAAACTGTTTTTTTTTTTACTATGTGAAGTTCATTATTGGAGAAATCATTTATTAGATGCACACCAGTCTGCTATCGTATGCACATTTTCAATTCTTTTTTTTTTTTTTTTTTTACATTTTCGTGCCCTTAAACATAACGCTGAGCAAACCGAAATGTTATTGGTTGCTTTACATGTTGGTCAGACGTTGTCTTGGGCGATCCTTGGCCAATGAAAGCTGCAATGGAGCCCAGACCTTTACTCTCACTCTGAAGGTCTTGCTATGTGAGACTAGCTGAAACTAAAAGAAACAACATTTCAACATTTTTGTTACTTTAAATAAAAAATAAAAAAACAACTTTTCATTTAGCTTAACATGATGTACTAAAATCACTTAAACTGAAATAAAATTAATAAAAACTATAGACATTTTTTTTTAAAATACTGAAACTACAAAAAATTCAAAATATTAAAAAAAATTATAAAAGTGTTTGCATGATACTAAAATAACACTGCGCTATAGTCTATTTCTCTTTTTTTATTTGTTGTCTAACATGGATATATTTTATTATATTATATTTCTAAGTCTATTTTGTTATACATTTTAGTAGAAAATTAGTACTAGGTGATCAAAATGCAGAATAAGTGCAGGAAAATGAAATTCATCATGTTACCCCGTGGCAACCACATGTTTCATCTAAATCGTATGTGTATGTGTATGTGTGTATATATATATATATATATATATATATATATATATATATATATATATATATATGAAGAGTTCAGATGCAAAAGCCTCTAAGTGCCATTTGAAATTTTTTTCTAGAATGACCATTTTTATCAAGCTTGTATATTTAAGTTCAGTAATTTCACTTAAATAACAATTAATAGGTAATTATCATTGCCATTTAAGTGAAATCACTGAACTGAATATACAATTTTGATAAAAATCATCATTAAAGAAGAAAATTTCAAATGGCATTTAGAGGCTTTTGCATCTGAACTCTTCATATATATATATGTGTGTGTGTATATGTATGTATGTCATATAGAGGATTTTGGATGTTTTTTGTTAAGGCTGTTTTAAGACGGGCAGAGGGTTTGTGTTTGCCTGATCTAGACCTTTCGGGGCCCATTAAAGATTCATGTCTCTCATCAGGAGAGCGAAGAGTGAGTCAGCAACCAATTTGAGACCGTCTCACTGTTTGATTTCGGCATTAAATAGCAGAAAAGGGACAGAGAGGAGTCTAGCTATGGGCTCTGAGTGAGAAATGTGTGGTAGGAGCAAAATAACATCATATATGTATATATATAAAAATATACAGAGAATGTGTATATATAAAGGGTTACAAGTCAGAAATGATACAAAGTCAGTAGTTGGATTGTTTTTCTCCCCGATGGGTGTGGTTTTCAGATTAGGATGGGTGTCACTCTGTCTCTATACTGCATTTTGAAACATTTCTATGTTGAATATGTAATGAACTGTGTAGAGTTACATATGTCGAGCTATGAGTTATTTCACCTTGGAAAAATGATTTGGGGCCAGTTCATACAGAATGCGTTTTTCCATTCCACAGCGCTACTGTTTCATTGCTCTATAAACCTTGTTCTATTGTGCTTGAATCTCATCTTTTGCAGCATCTCGTACATGACACGGCGTTCTAAAAACACAACGCTCAAGTTAAAATAAGTTACATTTCTTTAAAATGCATAGACCTTGTGTTTTACTTTCTGATCCATTTTTAACTGCATAAATGCTTTGTGTGATTGGCCCGTTATAAGTGATTGTGAGAGGTGCTTTTGATTAAGAAATGAATGACTGCATTTGCTATGTTAGTGGCATAACATCTTTGAAAGATACTCAGGGTTTTTATCTGAGGAACTTGACAAGTAGGCTAAACTAGATATCAATGAGTGCCTACATTCATTTCCTGGTTACAATACCTTTTAAAAGTTTGGGGTCAGTAAGATGTTTATTTTATTATTATTGAATGAAATGAATAATTTCGTTCAGCACGGAGGATTCATACAATTGATAAATATTTTCTGTATTTTTAATAAATAAAAAAAATGCAGCCTTGGTTAGCTTGGTTTCAAAAACCTAGACGTACTGACCCCAAGCTTTTGAATGATAATTTTTGGAAGTATTTTATCTGGTAATATTTTGTCTGACCACACATAATTATCAAGTTTAGGTCTAGTAGCTTATTACTTGGTTAGTAGATTTTTGCATTATGTATGTCTCTGTGTAAAGCCTTAATTTCTTTTGGGAATGGGTTGCATCTCTCTCATTTTGTTGCATCATTATCGTCTCATATTCTTTCTCTTGTGCACTCTACTCTCATAACTTCATTAGAGTTTGAGGAATTGTATCTGCATGGCATTAGAGAGAGGCTCACAGTCTGGCAGTCATCACTGCGCAGTATCTGAAAGTAAATGATAATGACTGACACCACACATTTTGGATGCACCCCTTATTTAACTCAACTTTATCTTAATAGTAGAGACTCCAAAAGGTGGATTAGACATCCACAATTGACCATGAATGAGAGAAACTGTGCTGCAGTCATATTAATTCCATCAGTTTCAAGAACAAATTGTTTCTGACGTCCTTTGTTGCCTTCTTTACAGGTTGCCGAAGAGTTTGGCTTTAGTTCAAATGGTTTTTCAATCTACCTGAATCGGGACAAGACTGGAGAGATCCTGTCACAGAATAAGACTCTCAGCCTGCTGAAAATCAAGTAAGTGTGCAGTTGTGAGAGTTTGGGTTTATTCTGTTGTGCACGTGTGGGTGTGTCTTGGCATTGTGCTCAAGTAAACACAATGACTGAGTTGTTTTTCTTTGTCTTTTAGGCATGGGGACATGCTTTTTCTGTACCCATCCTCAGCTGGACCCTCCAGTGAGAACATGGACACAGCTCAGCCTCACACTTCTTCTTCATACCCCTCCTTCCCTTCCTCCTCCTCCTCATCATCTTCCTTATCCCGCTCACACTCTGCACCACAGATCCCAGAGGATGAGATTGACCAGTATCTGTCCAAACAGGAGGGAAAGATCTACAGAAACAGAGATCCCCAGCTGTGAGTCGGCTTTTCTTTCCACACTACCCCGGAAACAGTTTATCTATATTCTTCTCATTTTCTAGAGTATTTTCATAGCATACTTTTGAGCTATTGCAATTTGCAGCTTATTGAATTCATTGCAAAATGAGGACTACAGAGTACTCAAGACATATTTCTATTTCTATGGCATTCTTTGTCATTGTTTCTCAGGTGCCGGCATGGTCTCATGGGGAAATGTGTGCACTGCGTACCTTTAGAGGTATAAACTTGTGATCCTCCCTTGAAACAACAGAGTACTGATTGGAAAAATAGGCTAACCCAGTGGTTCTCAACCAGGGGCCCTTGGGTAACTTCCAGGGCCCAAGATGACTTAAAATGAGGCAAAACAATCTTTAAAATAGCTAATTTGTTTATTTGTTTATTTAAAAGGATCCCCATTAGCTGACGCCTAGACGACAGCTAGTCTTCCTGGGGTCCAAACAATATATCAAAAGGCAATAATTACAATCACAATTACTCAAAAATATTTCATATAAAATGCACGTATAGATTAGAATAATAAAAAAAAAAACAAGCAAAAGTAACAATACAAAAAGTACTAATTAAAGTAAAAAAAAAAAAAAACAACATAACACATAATACAACCTCACTCAACCAATCCAAACAATATTATAATAGTGAAAACAAATACAGTCTAAGTCTTTTTTTAAAGCCAGTCTTTCCCTTGATTTCACGAATCCCAACTGGAAGATTGTTCCAAAATACAATTGACCTATAAAACACAGTCCTTTTCATATGGTCAGATTTAGGTAGGGGTAAAGAAATCTGTCAGCTATTTACCCCTCTTGTGTAATGTGAATGTATATCAGAACAATAAATTATTTTATCATAAAGAAATGTAGGAATCCGAGTGATAATAATTCTATGTATTAATAATTCTAATAAAAAAGCTCACTTCTTTTTTCAATTGTTCCTTCAACAACTGTCATTTTTATATAAGACCCAGCCTCGAACATTGTCTCGGAAAACCTGGATACGGAATTTTTAAATGTGTGGTTTTTTTAGACCTGGAAAAGTCATGGTAAATAATAGTTTTAATTATTTTTTATTTATTTTTTTGCTAAAAGGTATTCTAATAATTCATCTCAATCACAAACAAGAGAAAAATTCATATAAATATATTAATCAAATTTTAATGTTATCATTACAATTATTTAATTCAATTGTTTTAATATATTGAGACTCCTAGTTTTTGTAAATTAAAAAGTTTGAAAACGAGAAGCTGTGTCATCACAGAAAAAGTACCTATTATGTTGGTGTACTTGGAATATTGTCTTTTTTTATAATGATTGGCCTTGATTTCAAAATGGTTGAGGACCACTGGTCTAACTTAGATGTGCATCACAGTGAGTACTGATTACAATACTGCAGTTAAGACTGATACACATGGCACAGAAGTACATTTGCTATTTCATCTTACATTTTCTGTTTTAATAGCCTTTTGATGAAGACTATCTGAACCACCTCGACCCACCGGTCAAGCACATGTCCTTCCACGCCTACATCCGGAAACTGACGGGCGGAGCAGACAAGTTAGTGCTTCTGGGAACTCTCCTCTCTTACCTGAATAAGACTGGAAATAAAGTGACTTAATGATGTTTTCCTGTCTCTTAGGGGAAAGTTTGTGGCACTTGAGAATATCAGCTGTAAGATTAAATCTGGCTGTGAGGGTCATCCGCCATGGCCAGAGGGCATCTGTACCAAATGCCAACCCAGCGCCATCACTCTCAACAGACAGGTACCAAACTACTCTGTCTGTATCACACACATTCTTTATTTCATGTAACTCTAATATTACATAAACTGTTCACTAGTGTCACGTGTTGAAACTGCAAACATTTTTCTTGCAGAAATATCGACATGTGGACAACATCATGTTTGAGAACCACACCATTGCTGACCGTTTCCTTGACTTTTGGAGGAAGACGGGCAACCAGCGGATGGGGTACCTGTACGGACGCTACACCGAGCACAAAGACATCCCTCTCGGCCTTCGAGCCGAGGTTGCCGCCATTTATGAACCTCCTCAGGTGAGAGACTCAGACCTGAGACAGAATCAGTGACCCATCATCCTTTACTGTTAATACAACAATAGCGTTTTCATAATTTTAGTGACTGATTCTCTTTGCCAGCGTTCCTCAAATCCAGTCCTGGAGCACCATTGTCCTTCAGAGTTAAGCTTAAACCATTTACCTGCAATTTTCTAGTAACTCTGAAGACCTTGACTAGCTTGTTCAGGTGTGTTTAATTAGGGTTGGACTTATCCCTACAGGGCAGTGGCCCTCCAAGACTGGATTTAAGGAACCCTGCTCTAAGCTCTTGTGTGTTATGTGCACTAGTACCAGATAAACACAAGAGGGCAATAAAAGACTAACACTTATAGTTAGGCTCCCATTCTCAGACTAAAGATATTTCTGATACTTCACAAATGCTAAATCACAAATAAGTATATTTTCTAACTTTATTTATGAAAACTGAGTCATAATATATTAAAAATAATTTAATTATAACAATTATAACTTATTTAAATAATTTAGTTCCATAATTTCGGATGTTTCAATAACTGAATGTTGTTTAGGTTTTGTAATTTTAGACCAATTAATTTATTGGAATTTTCTTGCAATTTGTGACTACAGTTATTTTTATTTTAAATTTTAGAAGTTGACAAATGTATGTACATTATAAAAATGCCCATGACTTTTTGGCTTTTCCAAAAAATTCAAGAAATCACATTTTTTAAATTCCTTTATATATGCAGGTTTTATATATATATATATACACACACATGATATTTGATAAATTCATTAAATAAAAAAATAAAAAAATCACCACATCTGCCATTTGATCCAAATTGCCATTCGATGATTATTAAAGTTATGCAGTATTGCACTTCATTGCTGTACTTCCTTAAACATGCATGTATTGCACTATTTGATTTAAAAAGGTCAAGTATTGTTTTCCTGCTTCATGTTCTCTTCCTTTTCCTGCCGTATGATATGACTCAGATCGGAACCCAGAATAGCTTGGAATTGATTGAAGATCCCAAGGCAGAAGCAGTTGAGGAGATGGCTGCAAAACTGGGCCTACGGAAGGTGAGAGACCTTTTCCATGCCTCTTGAATAGTAGTTTGTCAAAGAAATCACATTTTACCCAAATTATTAAAGACAACAGCATTTAAAATGATCTGCTTGAGGGAGAGGAAAGAGAAGGGTTGCTTTAATGACAAAAGCACAACATATCACCGGTGGCTCCCATCAGGACCATTAAGCTAAATTACACCAAAATGCAAAGCACATACAATAACAGACTACAGCCCAAATAAAAAGAAGTGTTAGTTTAGTATCACTTAAAATACTATCTCAAGATTTCTATTTGAAACGCATACATTTGTGATTCTCAATTTATCCAGAATTGTGCATCTCTCTTACATATATATATTGGTGAAAGGCTGGATGCTAGTTATTCATCCCTTGAGTCTCAAAGGATTCTTTGAATTCCTCTCTCTCCACACCTCTATGACTTCCATATGATACTTTCAAGTTACTTGCTGATGGATGATAGAAGCGTTCTTTGTTTGTGCCTGAGCAGCTTCCAAATGTAGTTTTGACACACAGAAACTGTAAAGCTGTTTTTGATTAGTAATATCAGCTATTTCTTTCAGGTGGGGTGGATTTTCACAGATCTGCTGTCAGAGGACACCAGGATAGGCACCGTTCGCTACACCAGAAACAAGGTGAGTTGACAAATGAAAGATGAGGCTAACTACATGTTGTTTTTCTAATGTCATTATATTGACCAATGGATATGTTTCATCTGTTCAGGATTCATACTTCCTTAGTGCAGAGGAATGCATCACAGCTGGACACTTCCAGAACCAACAATCCAATGCGTGTCGACTTTCTCCAGATGGACATTTTGGATCCAAGTTTGTCACAGTGGTGGCAACAGGTACGCAGCGTCCTCCTTACATGAGATTTGCTGCTGCTGTTCTGTTATCCAGTGTGGTGATAAATTAAGGTTGTGTCAAATGCCTGTTTGGTATTTGCTTCAAGGCTGGTAAATCACTGTCTGCTTCAGTTTATGCTGTTTTTTTTTTAGCACTGAGCGTTTTATTGGTACCTGTGAAAAATAAAGGTTTATAATATTTGTGTGTTGGCAGGTGGTCCCGATAACCAGGTGCACTTTGAGGGGTATCAGGTGTCCAATCAGTGCATGGCTCTGGTGAGGGATGATTGTCTACTTCCATGCAGAGATGCTCCTGAACTGGGCTATGCCAAAGAGTCCAGCACAGAGCAGTACGTCCCTGATGTCTTCTATAAGGTACTGGACTAAAACGCTCCTCACACATCATGTTATGAAACATAGATGCTAAATACATACAATCATGATGCATGCACATACAATAGACTACGTTCAAAATAACTTTTCTATTTTTATATATTTTAAAGCTTAATTTCATTCTGTGATTGCAAAGCTTACTTTTCAGCATCATTACTCCAGTCTTCAGTCATATGATCCTTGAAAATTCACTCTAATATGCTGATTTGGAGCTCAAGAAACAAAGTTTTTAGCCTAATATTTTTGTTGAAACATTATACTTTTCCCCCCTGTATTATTTTATTGAATAGAAAGTTCGAAAATGCAAAAATAGATTTTTTTTTTTGTAACCATGCAAATCTTTACTTTTACTTTGGATCAATTTAATGCATCATTGGTGAATAAAAGTATTTATTTTCTTTAAAATGAATCTTACTGACCCCAAACCTTTGAACAGAAGTATAAATGCACATTTTCAGTACAGTCATACAGTCACACAGCTTTTAAGTGTTATCAGGGGTTTTCTGTTCCAGCATGTAACTGTAACCATGATCATATCACTTGCAGGTTTTAACTGATGTCTTTGACCAATCTGAACTTTCCTTTTACCTGAGCTTGTCACATTTATTAAAAAAGAGAGAATGAAAGTTAATGTCTATTGCTTTGGGCATAAACCATCTTATCAGCATCACTTCTGGTACAGGAATGAAGGGGATTTGTTGACGGTGATGCATAAAAAGGTTAAAATTTTCTGATCTTTTTCTTCACCTTCAGGATACAGACAAATTCGGCAATGACATCACGCATTTAGCCCGACCACTGCCAGTGGAGTACTTGATCATTGACGTGAGTAGTTGTCATGTTGTTACAACCACATACTTTTGTACTGATCATGCTCTAAACCTACATAATGCCAGTCAAAAAGCCAATGGTGTTGGGGGTAGATTTATACAATCATTGTCATTGATACAAAGACTCAAGTGCATACCCTGTCTTTAAGACCCAATGGAAAACCATGTGACAATTATGGTACATGGCATCAAACTGGCTGTAAACAAATGGCCCATTCCTTAGTGACCCCCCTTAATTTAATGTTATAAAAATAAATGAATGCCATCATAATCTTTTGTTTTGCATCACTCTTTTTTTTTTTTTTTCAGATCACCACCACTTTCCCAAAAGACCCTGTATTCACCTTCTCCTCTACTTTTCGCTTCCCAATTGAAAACAGAGATGCTTTGGGGGAGACCCAGGTACACATTTAGGGACGGATTTACTAAATGGCAAATTAGCGTGAGTAAAATCCCATAAAAGCACAGATGGGCGTGGAAAATTCTGCTCGTGATCTACTGACGATGTGCACATTAAAGAACACAGACGCAGCCGTATCATTTCCATAATGACCAGCGCAATCTACCAAGAGCAGCGCAAATCTGAATCTGGTTTAAGACATGCTTTTTTTGGAAGTTAAATAATAGCACAAAACCAGTAAATTGACTACCGCGGCCCTTAGTACATCGTGTTGTGTGATTCATTTAAATACTCCCATAAATTGTGCGTCTGAAAGGGAAACTCGTACAATTTAAATTTTATTTAATAAAATTATTTATTTATTTCTAAATAAAATCCTACATTTTTTAAATTTTTTTTTTTACTTTTTAGCATTTTTTGATGGTGGTCACTGGAAGTATAGTTTTTTGTTAAATATTCACTTAAAAATGTGTGTGTGCAGGACTTCCACAGTTTAGCGACGTATCTTTCCCAGTGTTCTTCCTCCTCCTCCTTCCTGGGCATCGTCTCAGATTTCCACCTGCTCCTCTTTCTTGTAACCAATGAGGTCATGCCCTTAGAGGTGAGTTTTTTTATTTATTTATTTTTTATTGTATTTATCTGTATACACGCACAACACACTCTCTTATTTAATGCCCTGTAGCTCCTTCCCTTTTTTTGCTTCTTCAGGTTATCATGCTTAGTTTTAGTTTAGTTCCTGTGTAGGCACAACTGATACTTGTTGTTTGTTGTACTATACTACTATTACAGTTGTTTTTGTCAAGCGTGAACTTCAACTTCTAAAAAGTTTATTTATTTTCCCTGACAACCTCACCCCCTTCCCTCTTATATCTACAGGACAGCATCGGACTTCTGCTGGATGCGGTGAAGACATCCAATGAGGAATTGGCTCAGACCTGGAAGAAATCAGAGCAATGGGCCACAATCGATCAGCTCTGCAGTGAGTAGTCATGCGCAGTTATTATTTATTGTTTTTGTTATGGAGTACATTGTTGAGAGCATCTCCAATTTTGATATCATGATGAAAGATGGGTCTTGTTCTTTTTTTTAACTCTTTATTCCAGACACAGTTGGAGGGCAGCCATCGGGATCTATGGATTATGCCATGGGCGGCCAAACTCTCCCACAGTCCTCTTCGGCTGTGTGGTCCTGCCTCCACTGCACCTTTATGAACCAACCTGGCACTGAGCACTGCGAGATGTGCAGTTTGCCTCGCAGCTAAAACCACAAGAATTCGGGCTGAACCGTACATCCCACCGGGAACAGCAGTGAGAGTGGGAGTGCTTCCCTGTATTCCTGCCGTTGTAGTATGCCTAATCCTTAACTCCTCCCCTCCCTCACTGACTGTGTCGGATCTAAACGCCTATGCCAGCCGCGTGCTTGAATATGCGCCCAATCCAACGCTGTGAGCTGCATCACTTGGATGATGAATGATGGCCGAAGATGATGGGTTTTGCCCATGTAGCACTCTCTGTGTGAGCCCAGTGCATTCTGGGACTTTTATTTTGACAAAGCACTTGGGCGAAGCACCTTTCACCCTACCCAGTATAGTCTTTCAGCGCCATTGGTGAAACATGATCAATTTCTCTGATATTAAACGTCTTTCCCCAACTATCACTGAGGATGTTGTGTAAATAATAAACTGAGAAGGAATAATGCTGTTATTTAATTTCAGAAGATTTTATACGTTGAGAGAATTGACTTTTTCAAGCCCATTTTTAGGTGAATGTGCAGCTGAAAGATTTTTCACGTCACCACGGTTTCTTAGATCTTCAACCTTAGTGTTGCAAGTTCAGAACACTTTCTTCACCCAACATGCATGCTTTCTTGATACACTTCCATTCATTTCCTTCACATAATCCCTCACTTTGTTTTGATGGACGATGATTTTCCTTGAGCAACAGTTCTAAACGCTTGATTAGATTGGAGTTTGAATGGTTAGTTTGGCTGCAGACCCAGAGCGAGGTTCCTTTTCCTTAAGATTGTAATTGACCATTGACTTCTCAAGGCTTAAGAAACTGTGCCTGATTGGTCGTAAAAACTGTAGCCACTCAACTTTGGCGCTGGTACCCTTTTCTGCACCATTTCACTGTCATCACCCCTTTCCTTTTCAATTTCCCCTTCCGTCCCCTTGGCGCTTGTCGAGATTTCAGTTATGCTGATTTTATTTCCACCGTTCAGCCCTTGAGGAGCCTGCATCATTGCCCCTTCAAAGGGTTCTGTCAGGGCCATCTCTGAACACGCTCGCCCACCTGTCGGCTCCACATCTGGTGGAAATGGAGAGATTGATTGATGGGGAAGGAACAGAGCTACAAATATAAAAGCAAAAGTCTAAACTTAGTCCACTTGATTGACATCTTTGCCCTTGGACTTCACATTTTTGTAAACCAGCCTCAGATTTTTTAGATTGGTCTGTGTAATGTGGACAGATTTTACTGGCTGGACACAGGGTTACACTGTCTTTTGACAGACTTTTTTCCATTTGGTCATGACTTCCTCAATGTTTTAGAAACCAGTCCAAAGACATGATCTCTTAAATATGCATTCAGGAGAGTTTCAGCCTTCTGAAATGATCTAGATGTTTACATTGCGTTATATTTTGTAGAGTTTCTTTAAATTTCTTGATTCCCAAACTCACCCATAATTTCCGACACTGTAAAATTCAGTCTATTGGTTCACTTAAATAGGCACACATTGGTCTTTGTCCACTGGATAAAGGCTATTTTTGGTTTAAAAATGTGAGGTTTGAGGTTGTACACAGTCTTTCCTCTGAGCTGCGGATAGCTGTACTTACATTGTCACAAAACACAGGTGCCCTGAGTTGTATGCTTTCAATTGGTTTGGGGTTTTTAAATAAGAGAATAGTTCAACAATAAAACTGATTACTTTGGATGCTGTCGTCTTGTCTTTTTTTTTTTTTTTTGTTCTTACAATAACATGCGTTCATTTTGTTTGACAACTAATTTTGGTTGTACAAAATTCCATTGTTTTTGTCCTAATGATTCATTTCCAAGATAAGAGAGACAAGATGGGGCCCTGTGCTGCTTGATGTATCGCTTAACATGTACTTCAAGGGCTCTACAACATACAGTAGATCCCAAACAAATGGAGCATGTGGACTTATTCAAAGGTTTGGTTTTAAAATAGGTCTTCTGCTACCATTCCCATAATACCTACCGTATTCATAAAAACAAAAACAGTGGTTGAAGAATAGACCTGAAGTTTTACCTCCAGCCAATCAGAAGGACCTCATCATATGTGTGGCAGATGAGTCGCTGGAATGCTGAGGTAGAGTGAACTCGACATCAAACATCTTACCTGAAGCTCTCTGAAGTTCAATCTATAATCCCAGACACATCTGGATCCTATCTAGCCCTCTCAACATAACTCTTTATCTCTCTCTAACCTTCCCTCCACAGAAGTGATGACCAATTTTATGGGACAGTTGTAGGTCCTTGAGTTTTATTTTTTTTTACCTTTGAACTTTGGAAGAGATGATTGGCATGTTGTTGTCGCTGTCAGTATGGTTTTAGCCGATGTGAACACATCCACACCAGTGAAAATAGGTAGGTGGAAACATTATATGTCATACTTGTAATGGGTTAATCTAACATTAAATCATTTTATATGGTTGTTATATTTTAGATATTATTCCTTTACCATTATTTTTTCTCAGATATTTGACCCTATTTTATTTTTAGTTTTTTTTTATACTAGTTGTGTATCCAGTCGGTTTGGTATATTGAAAATACATGAAAAGGGCAGATTGGTCCTTGATTTATAAGCTGTTTGTCTTAAAGAAAGTGTAACATTGAAACTGAAACATAAGTTCCTTTAGACACAACCCTAGCCAGTGGGCGGGATTAGGTCAGGATGAATATATAAAGCCAGAAAGACGCATATTAAATTTTATTATTATTATTTCATTGGCTCGTGAGACCAGACCCACCTCAGGTACAGTATGCACTTCTGCCTAGCAATAAAATGGTAATTTCACAAAATCTTATTTTGATTTTCATATTGGTAGCACTTATATATGTAAATAATAATAAATACATTATTTAACCCCATCAAATGTTTGTGATTATGTGAATTTATTTGTTCACACAGGAATGAATTGTCTCATACCGTTACTTTTTGGGCTCTCCTTGGGAGCTGCTCAGAAAAGCACAAGACAGACATCAGAGTGGGACTACAGAGCTGAAGGTGAAATATTGAATATGTACAATAAAAGCTACTGTTTACCTTTAAAAGCTTTTGAAATGTTATATAATTGCTGAAAATGTAAGTTATTTTTTTTGTGTGTATATATATATATATATATATATATATATATATATATATATATATATATATATATATATGATCACACATATCCCCCCTTCATTTGTTAGCTGAGAAAGTGAACTTGAGAGGATGTGCCAATCTCACCTTAGTCTTGGATAACTGGAAATATGCCATCATGACCCAAGTCAAAGACCTCCTTCTGAATGATCACAATACAGTGCTACCAGACTATGGAAGGTAAATGCTAGGTATATATATATATATATATATATATATATATAGATATATATATATATAGATATATACAGTATATATTAATTTAGTTAATTTTGAAATGGAACTAAAGTGTGTATTGTGTAAGCATGTCTCTTTTCACACTTGTCCCATTTAATGTGGTCTTTTCAGGATTCAGCCATTATCCGAAGCTCTAAATGACCTCTACAAGGAATTTAACTCTTTGAAAGAGAGACTTGCAGAGCTGACCACAAAGTTTGAGGGCATAGAGTTGTTTGTGGATGAAGCCCGATCCGGCAGGAGTCACTCACCTCCTCGAGTGGAACACCCACCTCCTGAGGGAGAGGGAAATCCAGCTGAGCCTCAGCCTGGCACAAGACAGGGGCGCAGGAGCAGGGTGGTGGTGCGAAGAGTTAAGAAACCTGATAATTCACAAGTTTAGGACTGATACCGGTATCTTTTACACAAGACAAGATTTACTGTACATTAATGTAACTAAATGAAAAAAAAAAAACATTTAATGTCTCTACCAAGTTTCTCAGGTGAGAAATTGTAAGCTTTTTGGAATATTTAGGCAATATGGGTCAGTGATGTGATGATGAACAATGGCAGCAGCTATTTTATATTCTTTTTTTATATATTCTCTGTAGTTCTGTTAATTTTTCCTTTTTAACTTGTGAATACATTGTTTAACGTTATTACAATAAATAAAACAAATAAAAAATATGATTTTTTTATTTAGTTTTTTTGTTCCCACAGTACTCGGTGGTGTAATATGGTAATGAATTGGCTGCATAATAATTAGGTTATGTGTTCGCTCAAAGTCCTTTTTTTATATATGAAAATTTATATAAATGTCTCTCCAGTAGTAGCCTAGCCGCTAGCCCACCCGATCGATGTCAGCATAATCTTATTAATATTCATGATGCATGTATGTGTATTTCTATTATCTACAGTAGCCTAATTATGAACTTAAAGTAAAACAAAATTACCCCGCTTCAATACCTATGAAAAATTGCTTAAATAAATAAATAATAAATCGCCTTTCAAGTGTAGCTAATAAAAAAAATGAAGTGCAGCATTTTACTGTTTTTCGTAAGTGTAATGCATGTGTTCGTTGTAATGACGAGGGAACAGCCAGAAACCAGCTGGCGAAACGAAACTGAAAGTTATGTCCCGAATGCAATATAAGAAGCGAAGAGAGCGGAACTGGAATAGTTTGGTTTGCTGACAGGAGTGAAAACTGTTCAAGAAGAGTGACTCTCCAAAACATGTATCTGTCATCTTTTTACAAAGCCAATGATCAATTCAGGTAGGCATATGCCGTGATATATTATGTTGTTATCCTGTCGGTTTGTTGTAAACGATTCTCACAGAGGTTTGTGGTTCGAGATGTGCGTTTTTATTGAAATATTTCAACTAAAAATTACCAAACGGTATTTAAATTTTTTTTTTTTGCATTTCCCTTTTCGAGAAACAAGTGAGGCAGTGTCATTCCTCAAAACCTAAAAGAAGCAACGAGGAAGTTGTTATTTGTGAACAGAGATGGTTATGAGATTATTGTTGACGATGTGCTGTGGAAAAAAACATAAAACATTGTTATGAATTTGAGTGGACTGCCGTTACAGTCACTGGGGCGATTATGTGATTCCTTATGAAAAAGTCATTGTGTAGTAGGCTAAGTAATTGTGTATAAACTGTGTTTTTTGCAGCCAAACCATTAGCCACAGGCAAAATCATGGATGTCTCCTCACTAACGTTACCATGATTAGGCAATAGTCTCTGTGGGAAACTTTGGCTTTTAAAAAAATCATAGTTTACATTCTTAAACCCATTTTTGAACACATGCGTACACATGATTTCTCCACAAAATGTGTTGATCCATCAATGTTCAGTACCAACTTTTTTTGTTCTGCAACCATTTTCCTTGTGACATATAGTCTATATTACATACACATTTACAAAATATTTATTTTTGAAGATATTTGACCTTTGAACCTCTTTTGCAAGAACCAGGAAGCCACAAGCTGTAGGTACAAGAAGATAGAAATGCCAAAGAAGGGAAAAGGTAGAGCGAAAGGAAATGCAGGTGAACAGAAGAAGAGGACTCAAAAAAGAGATGGCAGCACATCTTCATTTAGAACAAGTTCACAGAATCAACCAAAAGGCAAGCATACAAGTCACCCAAGCAGATCCAGATCCAGATCCAGATCCAGAGGCCATGGACGGCACAGCACAGGTGCAACAGAGTCTAGGCCACTGAACAGAGAGGCTCAGACTCAAACAGACTCAAGTAGGTTGGAAAACAAGGAGACTCAGACAGAGATTGTCAGTCATGCAACACAGCATACTCCAACAGAGATCAATGGCAACACAGAGACCACAGAAGTGTCACAACCAACAGACATCAGTCCTGAAGATGTTAGCATGGAGCTGGAAACTGTGCTGCCGAGGGACAAAGGAAATGAAAGTGATGGAGAAAAGGAGGAAAGTGTAGAGAGGAAGAAAAGGAGAATGAGTGAATCAAGGGAACCTACTAAAGAGACAAAAGAAAGGACTGACCTATCAGATGGTTGCAGAGAACAAGATGGAGATCATCAGAAAGATAAAGACACAAATGAAAAACATTTAGAAGTAGCTTCACAAAAAGACAGTAACCTCAAGTCAGCGCCAGAAGTGCCAAAATCATATGCAGCGGCTACTGCAGCCGCAAAGACCAAAGAGTCTAAGGAGGAGAAGAAGCAGACCACACCGGAAAATGTTGATATCAAAAAAAGGTTTGCAACATTAAAAGATAATGCACTTATCTTATCAAATGTTTGGCCTAAATAGATACAGTATATGACCTCTAATCCTTCAAATATTTATTTAAATAACGTTTTACTTTTTCATAGAAAACCTTCACCAGTGAGGGCTCCAGACAAGCAGCCGATGTTCACATACTACATTTATGCTGTTCTGGACAAAAGATTCAAATTTAGCACACAACATGACTCCCTTTTGCTGCTTATTGGGAATGAATGTGTTAAACTAGATATTACACATTTTATGTAAGTTTATTATTAATTTATAATGACAACATAGACACTATATTATATCCTACAGGTAGCAAATACAATATGAATCGCGCAAGAACATATAACTTATGTAATGTGATCTTTGTGTTGTAAAGTGTCAGTGTTTTTACCGTCATGTCATTTCTTGTTGCTTAGGAGCCTTCAACAGGAAGGCTATTTGATTGAGACAACATTTCCAGTTTTGGAAAGCACTGCAAGGGGTGTTCCAATATATTACAATTATGCAGTGCAGAAACGACATAACCGCATTGAGGAATTAGCATCAAGATGTGTTTACATCCCCACTGACAATAC